ACACACACACGCACACACACACACATATATATATATGTATATATATATATATATGTATATATATATATATATATATATATATATATATATATAATCAGAAATCAGTCATTCTTTTCTAAGCTCTTATTTAAGTACCATTTTAATCATGGTAGCTATGACAGCTCCTTAGTTGCCTTATTACTCCCTAATTTCCTAAATGTTCCCTAAAATTCCCTAATAGCTTCCTAATTTTTTCCTGAGGAACTATACTAATTAATTTTTGATATGGAACAAAAAAGAAAACAAAAAAGTCCAAATAAAGTCATCAGAGCATTCACATAACTGGAGAAGGGAAATCATTAAGAAGCTGCAATCTAAAGAAGGGCCCCAGCAAGTATATTAGTTACAGCAGTAGCTTTTATGAAGGTTTATTTAATACTGTCGTTTAGCCAAAGCAGGCTGCTTCTGACCTCAGCAAATCCACAAGTCGTTGCGCTGTTTAGTAAGTTAGATCAATCCTAACAAGTCTTTTCCCCACCCCTCACAGAAGCATAGACATAAGAGTTGGAAGGGACCTTGGAAGGCCATTGAGGCTAACCCCTTCATTTTGTAGATGGGGAAACCAATCTTAAGAAAGGCTAGAATGCCTAGGATCACACAAGATACTAAGGGCCTGAGGCAGGATTTGAACTCATGTCTTCCAAGTCCAAAACTCCATCCACTGTGCCATCTAGCTGCCTCCCTTCCATGTCCCCACTACTCCACAGGTCTTTACATTTTCTCAACCCAGTCAGTTTATCCTTCATTTACGATCTGTTTCACTATGTTTCTGTTTTCTGAAATTGTGTCCCATCTCACCCAGCAAGTGTCCCCAATAATACTGGAAGGTCCTCAAGGGCAGGAATCCCAGGGTCTCCAGTTCCCTCTAGGCAACCCCTCCCCATAGTGTACAAAATTGTGTACATCACATGGAAGCACTCAGCACCAAGGAATTGTGACTGGTTGGTTGACTGAAGGCTGGCCCTGTTTATATAAGGGGTGGGAAAAACTGACTCAAGCTTGGCCTTTGATGGGTGTGGAGCACTTGGCAAAGCCTCAGAGATCAGAGATCACAGCATTTTAGAGCTGAATGGGATATGACATACAGATTGTCTAAGCCCAAGCCATTTCTTTTAAAAGATGAAGAAAAGAGCCCAGAATGAGGCAGTGACTTTCTTAGTGTCACACAGCTTAGTGTCACACAGCCCTCAGCCCAGGGCTCTTTCCATGAGAATTAGATAGATGTGTGAGGCAAGAAGAAAGAAACTGGGAAGTTCCTCTTCTAGAAATGAAAAGGCTGAAAAATAGGAAGCAAGTAATGTCATCCAGAAATGATCCCCCACTTTCCCCATCTCCCTTGAAGACAAGCTGAAGCTGAAGCATGAGGGAATTAGATTAGACCTCAGGAGGAATTCTGTGATTGAAGTGATTATGAGATATAACTAAGAATCTCTTTTGATGGAGAGTCTGAGACTCCCTTCCTAGAGGATTCTCAACATTTCTGATTAGGTTAAGGGTGGACCTGCTTTCGACAACAGGAGATGAATTAAACCATTTTCCTTTTTTATTTTGAATTTGTATTAATATCTTTAGTTTTACAAAATACTGTCAAAGTCCCAATGTCTCTGGCCCTGACCTACACTTTGGGATATACCTTTTCAGGGAGCTACACATTCCCACCCCCACTGACATGGCCTTTCCTACCTTCTCTCAAGCCCATGTACGTTAGGGCCTTGACTTTGTACTTACTTAGCAATAAACATCGATGTAATAAAAGTTCAGGGTGCTCTGGACACTGGATTTGGAGTTGGAAGACCTGGGTTCCATCCAGCCCCTTCTCTGCCATTTATCAGCTGTGTGACTTTGGGCAAGTTGCTTTTATCTCTGAATCTTGGCTTCCTTGTTTGTACAATGGGATTAATAATACCTGCTCTGCTGGTCGTGAAGATCAAAGGAGATGATTTCTATAAAGTGCTATTTAAAGTGTCAGCTATTATTATTCTCACTCCCCATCAATATTTTTCCCCCACTTAAGAATGGTACCTCTTATAACTTGGGTACTGAAAAAGGCACAATGGGAGAAGTAAATGACATGTCTTAGGTGGTAAAGTCTACTGGGACAAACTGAATACAGACACAGAATCTGAAGCCCATTAAGATCTAGGGTAGAAGAAGGCTGAGCTGGACAGGGTTTAGGGAAAAGTCCTGAAGTAAGGAGAAAGGGGTGGCCTGTATGAAGATTCAGAGGAAGATTAGGGCCAGGTGCCTGTGGGGAATAAGGAGCAGGTTTTCCTACATGGAATAGAGAGTTTAATACAGGGTTACATAAGAGCGGAAATTGGATAGGGGAGTGGGCAGGGGGGTGTGAGGAGAAAGGGAGGTCAGAATTGGTAGAGAGGAGCATCATAGAACTCTAGAGCTAGAAGGAGCCTTCTAGTTTGCCTAGTACGACTCTTCCACCTTTATTGTGCTGATGAGGAAACAAAAGTCATCGATCCTTCATAGGAAGACCAAGTAGAGAAGAGATAGCTCAGTGAGAGTCCTAGTAACATCTTAATAATTTTGTTGTTGTTTAGTTGTTTTCCAGTCATGTCTGACTCTTTGTGACCCCATTTGGGGTTTTCTCATCAAAGATATTGGAATAATTTGCCATCTCCTTCTCCAGCTCATTTTACAGATGAGGAAACTGTGGCAAACAGGTTAGGTGACTTCCCCGGGGTCACACAGCTAGTAAATATCTGAGACTGGATTTGAACTCAGGTTTTCCAGACTCCAGGCCCAGCACTCTATACACTAAGCCACCTAGCTGCCCTTCAATTTTTAAATGGGCCCAAAAGAAACAATTGCTGGAAGAGGATGAGCTAATCTGTATAGCACTCCATGATTCAAGGATCTGTAATTTCACTGATGTGGATACTCTCTCCACCTAGCAGATCACTTAATAACCTCCCTTCAAGAGATCATCCTCTCTGTCCCTCCTTCCCCTTTACAGTCAAAGTCCTAGAAAATGTTGTCTACACCCATTGCCTCCACTTCCTTTCCTCTTCCCGTTCAGGACTTTACAATCTGACTTCTGACCTCATTACTCAACTAGATCTGTCCTCTCTGAGGTAGGTTATCCAGACCTGATGGCCCCTTCTAAATTCTCATCCTTCTCACCAATCTGCTGCATTTGACACTGTTGACCACCTTCTCCTTTTAGATACTTTCTACTTTCTGCATTTTTATGACCCTGTTCTCACCCTGTTCTTCTCTCACCTGTCTGCCCATCACATCTTAATCTCTTCTTCTGGATCGTTAGCCACATCACTCCCCCTAACTATGAGTGTACTCACAAGCTCTGACCTGGGCCCTCTTCTATCTTTATAACCTCTCACGTGGTGACTGCACCGGTTCACAAGGGCTCAGTCATCTTTATACTGATGACTTCCGTTTCTATACATCCAACTCTACTCTGTCTTCTGGGCTTCAGTCCACCTCTCAGATTTCCTCTTGGACATTATAAACTGACATTCCACAGACATCTCAAACTCTATATGTCCAAAAGAGAACACACTGTCTTCATCTCTGGGCTTCATACAGGCTGTCCCTTATGCCAGCCCTGCCTCTCCAAAGCTCCGCTCCAGCACTATTGTCCATGTGAAGCTGTGAGACTTGTATATTTCATATTTACATACTGTGGGGTTCCATTTGGTGAAAGCTGTAATACACAGTAAGAAGTGGGAGCCATAAACTTAAACTCTGAAAGGTGGAAGGCATACTGACCTGTTAAAAATCATAATCGGAAACTGAGTCATAACTTAGATATTGTGACCCATACATGACCAACCTTGAGTGCCTGGGCATTCATCCGATGCTGCTGGATGTCTGGATACCAGGTTCAATACTAAGTATAAACTAAAATATTAGCCAAAACGTTAACTAAGTAGAAAAACCTTAAATATCCACCAATCTGCAGTGAAGCACCCTGTGGCTCCTCCTCCCTTTGTCTGATTTCTATAATTACCACGGGGATTTTGGAGGTTCTTTACGGGTATCTACTGAGTCATCTGGCTGCCGCCTCAGATTGCCCCCATTTATAAATAATCATAATGACTGATGACACTCCTATAATCAATCTGGAGCTCTTTGGCCTCTTTCTTTGGTAACGAACTCACCCCACAGTACAGGGGAGATATAGAATTCCTCAGCCATGGGAACTCCAGACCTTACACATATGTGTGTATATGTGCATGTGTGATGTGCATGTAATATACAAAGGGCAGCTAGATGGTGCAGTGGATAGAGTGCTTGGCCTGCGATCAAGAAGACTCATCTTCCTGAGTTCAGATCTGGCCTCAGATACTTATAGCTGTGTGACCCTGAGCAAGTCACTTAACCTTGTTTGCCTGAGTTTCCTCATGCATAAAACGAGCTGGAGAAGGAAATGGCAAACCACTCCGGTATCTTTGCCAAGAAAATCCCAAATGAGGTCATGATGCTTGGCCCTTACAAATGTTTGATTAACTGATTGATCACAACTTATCCACATCTTAATAGACAGTTTCACGAGCTAAGTGGCCAAAAACGAATCATCATTTGGTGGCCAAGACTGTGATGATGAGCCTGAGCCTCTCTGAACTTAGTAAGGCTGTCCCTTGTTCCCTTGAGTGGCAGGGCTGCTGCCAGATCGCTACCTGAAGGCTTTTCATCTAGATAGGACATGAGGAAGCTTGTGTCATCTTCCGTCAGCCTAGACTCCAAGAACTGAGGCCTGCCTTTGGGTTTATCAGGAAGAAAATAGAACTTAGTGGAGGAATTTATGGAAATAGTAGGTAAATCCACTTGCCATCAGGACTATCAATTATTTAAGTAAACAATAAAAGATATCCCAGCCTCAAAATGTCTTTTCTACCTTATGTAGAGGCATCTTCTGCTTTTTCTTTTCCCTTCATCTTGAATAGTCTTTCCAGTCATTTAACCAAGTTAACTTCTCTTTCTAGGCTGAAGGCCAAAGACTATACAAGGACTTGAAACATTTCCTTAATGCTGTCAAAGGTCTGTATCCCAGTATCAATGATCCCAGAGGGCATCCTGGAGGAGGGAGTGGGTGAAGAAAGGAGAGAGAAGCACCTTGTGGGAGAAGAAGCCACCAAATCAGAAACTCTTGATTTACATAATGTTACCAAAAATCCTGCCTTCCCATGTCCTGTGTGCTTCCCAGAGCCTAACATCTTGGGATTAAGTTGGTTATGTTGGTTAAAATAACCTCTCTGTAAGCTCTAGCCAACTTCTCTAGGGGGCACATCCCAAAGCTATTTAAGTGTTTTCCCAGATCACCTAAAGATGCTATGATTTGCATATCATTTGTATAATCAATGGAATGAATTTTGGGGTGAAACCTCTTACAAAGACCGAGTTCTTTTCTTCCAGTGATGCACGAGAGCTCAATGAGACTGTCCCAAACTCTGCAGGAGATCTACAACTATGAGTGGGAGGGCTACAGGGACCTGAAAGTCATTGCATCGGTACAGAGGACGACGGGGGCCAGTGACAACCACCACCATTTATTCAGCACCTACCCTATGTAGACGTGCCATGCCAGGCACTGGGGGAAATAGCAAGTTTGTAAAAGATGTGGTCACGGTTCCTGCCTTCATGGAGCTTACACCCAGCCGGGGGATAAGACACAAACAGAAATAACTGTAAAGCACAATATTACCTGATAAGTGTTTTAGAGGGGTCTGGAACAAAGGGTAGGTGAGGTCAGAGAGTACAAAGGTCACTGCCAAACAGTGGGACTAGGGAAGGACTTTGAAAGGAGATGTGGCTTGAGATCAGTTTAAAGGGTGACTGGAAAATCCACAGACAGAGCCATTCCTCCCTCCTCAACGTCCTTTTGCCAGTGGCTGCTTTCTTGCTGTCTCACTGCTCTCCTCCCTGGAAGTTCAGTCCAAGCTGGGATTGTCAGCTTCATTGAAGGCAAAAGAGAACTAAGAGGCACTCTTTCTTGTCTCTTGCCAGTAACATGCCAATCTCAGTACAGATAAGAGGGGGAAAGCTAAAACTTTTTAGATAAAATGAGGGTTTTGATGGGTTATAAGGCAGAGAGCTTGAGGAGGCCCCTGGAATTAATGGATGTAGACAAGCAGGCCTGGATGGTGGAGGTCTGCACCATTGGAGGAAATGATCACGCCTATGAGATCATAGCTCCATTGGAGTTTTAAAAATTATTATCATCTATAGATGTCAATTATCTGGACTCTAACAGTCTTACCAAAGCTCATCCTTTTCTTCTGTCTGAGTTCTTCCTTCAGGAAGCTTCCTAAGACTAACCTCATCTAGTTCTCCCTCTCGATCCCTCCTTTTCCCCTATGTTACTAAAGCTCACCTTCTCTGTCACACTGGGAAAGCACCGAGGACAGGGACTCTCTGTCTCTCTCTCTCTGGATCTTCCCTCACAGAACCCAAGACAAGGTACAAGGTACACAATTTGAGGCAGGGATCTGATGGTTCACTAGCACCCGGGGCATTAACTAAGTGGGCTGCTGCTGCTGAGGAATGGGATGCTGGAAATTCTCAGCCAACTGCCCCCTCATCTCCATGTGTTTCCCAACAGAACGATAATCTCCTGTGGGAAGATTATGAAGAGAAACTAGCTGACCAGGTTGTGAGGACCATGGAGAACTACATCTACCAATTCAATGAAGTTAAGGTATCTGCTGCATCAGCTTAGTGCCAGGGCCAGGGTCAGGAGTGAGACAGATCAGGGCAGAGGATAGGGGCCAAAGGCTACACTTATTCAGCACCCACTTAATGTTGTGCCAGCTGCTGAGGAAATATGACTTCTAAGGCCTCTTCCAGCTCCAAATCCTATCATCTTCTGACCCTACAACCTTCATTCTTGATTCCTCAAAGAGTTTATAGTCTAGGAGGGGAAATAAGACCATTACACAAACAACTACAAACCAGAATAGGGTGTGATAGTTTCTAAAAGAGGTACAAAGCACCAGGAGAGTTCTGCCATTGGCCTGGGGAGGGGGAGAATGATGGGAGCTCAAGTTAGGGTTAAGAGATTAGATGAAGGACTAGGACTGAAGGTAACACTTGAGGTTAGATCAGAGGGTTAAAGATAACATTAGGTTATGTTTAAGTTCAAGACTTCGTTCAATGTTGGGTTGGGTCAGAGAAGCCCCTGTGAATCTACAATATCTTAGAGTAGAAAGATCTCTGTTCTAATTCACACTCTTTTTGTGGCCCTAAAGGAGTCCATTTACCTCCTTGGGCCTCATGGTTCCTGTTCTCCAAGTTAGGGGGATTGGACTAGATCCAAATTATATGAAAGAACTCATGTCTGTGTGCTAAGAATAGCAGTTCTCTAAGAAAAGGTTGGTGTTAGTAATATTTTCCTCAGTAAAGCATTAAATATGAATTTAGGCATTGTCAAGAATGTCTATCATATGTGCCCATTTTGGGTTAGCCTTCATTTCTCTTACTTTGCTCCAAACTGTCCATCACCTTGTAGGTGAGATAGCCTATTTGCCCAGGCCCACAGGGCGACCATTTCCAAGGCTAAAGGCATTCTGTGGCTTAATCAGAGTGAGAAACACTGCACTGGATCATTTTGAAGGTCCTAGCCAGATCCTAAATTCTATGATTTCCAATTCTGGGGCTAAGACATAGGCAGGAGAGAATAAAGGAACATAAGAAGGAAGAAAGGAAGGAAAAATAAGATAGAAAGGGGGACTAGGAGGGGAAAAAAAAGAGAATAGAGGTGCACTTGCCAGAGAGGAAAAGTGCTATTCACCTTCCCACAGAAGTCCCTCTGCCCCAGGCTATAGCCAGTGGTTCCAGGCCAAGGGGTGTGGGTATTTCAGGACACATGGTCAGAAGCCTATGTTGTTGAAGCACCATTTTATATTTATGCTAATTGCCAGCTAGCTACCAATGACAGTAATTGATGTACATAGCACTTTACGCCAGTGATCTCATTTCAGTCTCACAACTACACCACAAGGTAGCTCCTATAGGTAGCATCCACTTAGCCTCAGATTGGTTAAGTGATTTGTCTACCATCACCCAGCCAGTATGTATAGAAAGTGGGACTGGAACCTAGTTCTTCCTGACACTCTATCCATGCTACCCTTTAAAACCATAGCTGGTGGTATCAAATATCCAAGAGCAGCAATGGCAGTGGTTTGGCCCCACTGCCCTACTAGTTCACTGTGCTGATTTGATAAACTTTATTTTTCTAGAAACCTTTGGAGGCCATAGTTTTTAGACTCCCAGAATCTCTAGACTTATAGTTTGAGTGGGGCTGAGACAGGCTTTCTCAAAGCTTTCATATGATCACACCAGAGAGGACTTTAAAGATCATTTAGTACAACCCTCTGAGGCCAAGAGAGGTTATATTTAAATTCAAGGCTTGGTTTAATGTGAGAATTAGGTTGGCTTGAGTTTGGGACTGCCTTAGGTCAGAGCAGCCAGTCTCACACAGGCAGGCAGACAGGCAGGAGCAGGGCTAAGATTCCAAGCCATGGGCTTCTACAAGATTCTACAAATCTCATGTTGCTTCTGCTGTATCCCACTGCCTTCCCATGTCAATGGCCCAGTGACCTTTATATGAGCTGATTCTTTCTCCAGGAAGTTTTAAAGAGGAGTCTAAGGGCTGAATATCTATGGCTATTCTAAATCAGGACAGTTTCTCAGGACTTCCCCAAGCCTGCACTTCCCTATTTAATTGTACTTCCTTACCTGCTATTCCTTCCTGGGTTAGGATGCAGGTTGTGTTCTTGGGTCCATTTACAACTCTGTTAGATAGCCAGGTAATACTAGGACCCAGGTGTCCTACTAAGAAGCCAGTGCTCTGCTCTTCATCCCACCTGAAGTTTGGGCCTTTCTTTCTTTCTTTTAAAAATAAATTTGTATTGATATTTTCTTTTTCTTTTTCTTTTTTTTTTTGCATCACCACAGTTATCCCAAATAGTATTCTTTTAGAGAGGAAAAAAATCAGCACATCTGATCGATGCATTGAAAAAGTCTGAAAACCATGTAATGTTAACTCCTGTGGACCTCCCATTTCCACCAAGGGGTGGCTTGGGGGCATTCTCTCAGAACCATTCATTGAGTCCTGCTCAATCTTTACAATTTTATTATATTTATTTTTTTTTTATTTGGGGTGCGGTTCAATTCCTTCTATTCACATTGTTATAGTCACTGTAGATACTGTTTCCTTGGCTCTGCTTCATTCCTTTTTCATTCTTTTCTGGACCAGGAGAGAATTTCCAAGCGAGGTCGGAAACTAGTAGATTATGATAGTGCCCGGCACCACCTCGAAGCAGTACAGAATGCCAAGAAGAAGGATGAGGCTAAAACCCTCAAGGTAATAAGAGCAGGAGAAGCCTCCAGTCTGGGAGCTGGATGAGAGTTTTAGTCCACCCTTCCTCCGTGTCTGGGAACCCTGAGTGTGGTGGCTCCTGGATGGGTGCTGCAGTGGGAGAAGACAACACCAGGGGCGGGGCGGGGGGGCCATAGGCTCACCTTTCTGGCATCCTGCCCTCACCCCCACCCCAGGCAGAGGAGGAGTTTGTCAAAGCACAGACGGTGTTTGAGGACCTGAACCGGGAGCTACAGGAAGAACTGCCTCTTCTCTACAGCAGGTAAAAGGATCCAGGGACTCGGAGAAGTGCAAAAGTATAAGTGGGAGCCATGGTGCTTCCCACTGCGCAAGGATGTGGTACCTGGAAAAGAGCCTCATTAGCCTGGTTGTCCAGAGTCTCCAAAAGACCTCGTTAGCCCCTGCCTCTGACTCACTTAGTGACCCCTGGCAAATATGGGCACTGGTTTCCCGATCTGTAATAAACCCTGCCCTCCTTGATTCTCAAGGCTTTCAGGCTAAAGAGAGATGCAAGATGTGAAAGGGCAGCTTGACACGTTTTTACATGCCATACAAAATCAGTTGATGATAATAGTGCAGTTTCTTGTACAAATATATTGCTTTAAACAAAACCAAGCATGAACCTCCAGATTAGTACAAAATATAACTAAAGGAGGGAGTGTGCATTGTGAAGGACTCTTCACTTTACAAAAGCATAATATTCCTTTAAATAAAATTTGCATAGAATCAAATTTAGTTGAACTGAAATTTTTTGAAATAGTGAGATCTCCTGAGGCATTTAAAATGGGATTCAGTTTATAAACACTGATTTATAGACACGGCTTTGGGGAGCACAGGTGTCATAGAAAGTATTCATCATAGTAATAATACCACCTTCCGTGATGGGCAAACTATCTTATTAATCTGGAAATCCAGCCTGTTTTGGTGCCAGAGTTCCTGGGCTATCAGTGCTCCCTTCCACTCTCTCCCCCTCTTCCTTGAGGATTTGATTACCCCCCAACCGCAGGACTCTGGAGACTTCAGACATGAGGAGGTAGAAGTGGTTCTGGAATTTTGGGTGGAGTATAGGGGGAGGGTTAGAGAAGGGCCTGTTCTATGGAGCAAAGAGCCTTGGATTCAGAATCAGAGCCAGGTTCAAATCCTAGCTCTTAACGCTAGGTTCTGTGACCATAGACAAATCATCTCTTGAGTCTTGGTTTCCTCATCTCTAAAATGGAGGTAATAATGCTTATAGTACCAACCTTATCCAAGTGGTTGTAGGAAGAGCTCTTTGTGATGCAGTTTGCAGTTGCTGGGAAGCCCAAAACCCCGAAATGTCAGGGTGCAGGGTGTGTCCGCCTAGAATGAATTCAGGCACTCGACCTGTCTTCCAGTCAAAGTGGCAAGGTTTATTGTAGTAACACCAATAGAAGTGGGCAGGGTTCCCAGTGAACCTGCAATGTAATGGGAGTGAGACTAATGCTTATATATAAAAGGGGTGGGCCAGGTACAATGGTGAAAGGACTGTCTAGCAAGATAATTAAGTGATCTAGGTGGGCTGGAGTGGATCAGATGCTTTGGGCAGGAGGCCAGTGATCTGGGCTACTGAAATGTATGGGAAAATTCAGAAACTGGGTTGCTTTCAAAGATATGGTCTTTTCCTTTTAGAGGTCCAGGTTCCATCACTCCATCATTTGTAAACTACAGAACTAATTCCATGGTATGAATGACTGTCATTATCAATCATTTGATCCTCACAGCATCCTGCAGGATAGATGTGGCACATATTACAGACCAAAACGCCTGAGCTCCCTTAGAAGCAAAGGGACTTGTCACAGAATTAGTGACAGATCCAGGGCCTCAGACTCTATAGCCAATGCTCTCTCCATTATAGCATGCAGCCTCTCCCATCTGTTTTATAAATATTAGCTACCTGCCCTTTCTTCCTGGGTGCTCACCTGCTGTTTGCTTTGCCTGGCTCTGCTCTATTCCCCATTAGCCGAATTGGCTGCTATGTGACCATCTTCCAGAACATCTCCAACCTCCGGGATGTTTTCTACAAGGAAATGAGCAAGGTAAGAAGCCATTGGCCAACTGAGATGATGATGATGGGGGTTTCTGGGGCTGGTTGTGAGGCCCATGGTAGATGGGATGAAGTAGCATCCATGGATTAGTGTGTCCTGTTTCAGTCGCACAGAATAACACACACACGCGAGCACTTAGATATGCACACAAACACATGCACAATGAAGACCTCTAGGCCAGAGTTATACTAAAATGAGAGGATCTAGGTTGGGTTAAATTTATACATGAATTTATTATTTATTAAGTATTTACTGTGTGCTGAGCTTTGGGGGTAGAAGTAGAAGACAGTCCCTGACCTGGGGAGCTTACATTCAAATGAGTGAGACAGTACATATGAAAGGTTGCAGCTGCAAGTCAGATGGAAAGGAGTCAAGCTGTCTCTAGGGTTTAGCAACCAAGCAGATTGCGATGTCTCTTCTTATGGAAAAACCTCCCGATAAAGAAAGTTGCTTGAGATTGAAAGGTGTGAATCATGGCATCTCCATCTGGGTAAAGGTCAGTTTTTAAATCCTGGGAGAGTTTCTCTGGTCCCTTGGCTGGATTTGGGCAGTCCTTTTAGGCAGAAGAAAGGATAGGCCAAATGATGTCTCATATCCTTCCTACTTGTAGAATTCCCAGATTCTTTTATATCTGGACCCACATCTTTGCTTCCTTCCTCCTGGGTCTTGAAGCATCCAAACCTCCAAAGCAGAGGCCCTCTGTTGCTGCCAAAGTCACAGAATCATTGAGTTGAGAGGGACTTAGGGGTCACTTAATTTAAGCTGTACCTGAAATATGAATCTTCTTTACAGTATTCCAATATCTGGCCTTTGCTTTAACACAGGCCTGTACAACCTGTGGCACGCCAAAGGATTTCGGGAGGCCTGAGAAAAACGTAGAGGAAGGCCTTTGGGCTGCAGGTTGTGCAGGCCTGCTTTAACAACTCCAATGAAGCCCATACCACTTTTGAATGGTTATCAGTTATTAGAAAGTTCTTCCTTATGTTAAGTTGAAATCTCTCTCTTTGAGGGAAGGATTTCTTTGGCTTAATGATGATTTCAGAGTATGCTAAAAAAGCAGCATTGGAAGGTCATCTAGTCTACCCCTTGCCAGAAGTAGGAATCTGACAAGTTGCCCTCTAGCCAGGTGGGATTTGCTTATTTAATATCAAAACAGAAACAGAATGAAGGAACCAACACACAGAATTAGATGCCACCTGCATATATTCCATTTACAACATAGATAAACCACAGAGGGGTAATGGAAAGTTAACTGCATGCTGTTACCAAAGGGCATTGTGAAGAAGAGCTGGTGCTCCCAGCTTGAGTGACTTGGCATGCAGTCACTAGGGGGCCAGAAGAATGGCTGTGAATAAGGGGCCCCACAGAGTTTCTCTGTGCTCCTGGCTAAGTCTAGGCAGGTTCAGAAGACAGTGTATCAGTAAGCAAATGCTCATATGCCTGATTGTTCCACCCTAAACACCACCCTTACTTACTAGCTGTGTGACCCTGGGCAAATCACTTAACCCCAATTGCCTAAAAAAAAAAAAAACCACCTGGGGGAAAGCTTGCTAACCAGGTCTCAAATTTAGAGACTGCAGGGCTTTGATTGGCTGGAGCACAGCTTCCCATGGGGGTGGGGGGGTAATGGTTATTAATTATTATTAATAATTATTAATAAACTTATGCTGGGAGCAGACTCGGTCCCTAGACTTCTTTTGGGAGCTCCCAACAATAGCCAGGGAAATGGGATGCACACACAGAGCACAAAGACCCCAAAAGAGCTTGGGGGTAACTGGCTGGAGCTCTGAACATTGTTACTGAAAAAGGAGTGGATTCCATAGGTTTTCAGGAGAAAAGGAACATAGAGGAGTGTTGGGAAGAAGAAAAGGGATAGAGCTGGGCATCTCAGAGAAGATGGCCCAAGCTGAACTATTACAACCATTACCTCCTTTTTTCTTTTGTTGACTGTAGCTGAACCATGACCTATATGAAGTGATGAGCAAACTGGAGAAGCAGTATTCCAGCAAAGTCTTTGTGGTCAAGGGAGTGTCCAAGTGAGCAATCTTTGGTGTCTTTTTCTGTCACAGAGTCAACTTTGCTCCTTCTCTGTGTCTTTCCCTTCTCTCTCCTTTTCCCTTCCCCACCTCCATCCCCTTCTCCTCCTTCAATCCAAAGTCATGGCATTCCCTATGGTGGGTAGGTGAGTATGTATCCCTTCATAGATGTGTTGTGTTCCAAAGTTTATATAAGATTCCTTTATGTGACCCCTCCTTTCCAGCCAAATAGCGCTACTTACTGTTGTCACTTCCTTTCTGCCTTCACCACACACCAAGTACATTTCCTGCCTGTGTGTCTTTGCTCATACAGTTCCCTTCCACCCTCTTCTTGGACTGCTCTCTCTTTTCTGCTTGTAAGTAATCCCACTCGTCCTTCAAAACCCAGTCCAGGCTCTACCTCTTGTACGAAGCTTCTATGACCATGCTAGGCCCATTATCTCTCCTTCTTCCAAACTTATAGCTCTTACCATAATCAACACAAATTGTTATTGAAAAATATTGACTAAGCACCTACTGTGTGGATCATTAACCCTCCTGCCCTGGCAGAACCTAGGCCCTGGGGAGGGAGGGGGGATGTGCGCTTAAAAGACAGACTAACCATGTTCAGGTGGATGGCACAGACAGCAAGCACTACAGAGATTCAGAGAAGAACTGGAGTGATCAGGAAAGCCTTCGTGGGGGAGAGGAGATCTGAGTGCGGCCCTGAACAGTAGAATAGAAATACTGTGCCACATATCTGGCAAGCAGCCATGCCATATCATGCTGCATCACTACTCTGGTCCTTAATTCCTCCTGTTATTGGTCTATTTTTATTTTTTTTCTCTCTCTCTCCCCTCTCCTCTCTCCCCCTTCCCCCTCCTACTTTCCCCAACACACACCCACTAAATTGTCATTTATTGGAAGGATAGGGACCATGACTCATTTTCCTGTGTATCTCCAAAGTCAAGTCAACAAACATTTATGGAGCACGTAGTGCGTTCTAGGCTCAAGATAGTCATGAAAGACATAGGTGTGAATTCTGCCTTTGCCACCTACTAGCTAGGTGGCCATGGGCAAGACCCTTTGAGTCTCCGTGTCCTCTTCTGTAAATGGAGGTAATCAAACTTATGGTACCTCCTCCCTTCTAAGGGCAAATGAGGTATGTAAAATGTTCCATAGAGATGTTAGCTATTACTTTCACTACAATCTAAAGGGGAAAATAAGAAGTGGATACAAAGAAACATAATGCTGCAAAACAAAGGCATAAGAAAAGTGCTTTGAGAGAAATAGATTACATGTGGCAGTGGCCTAGGGGAGGCTTCGTGGAGGAGCCATTCAAAGCATGCCCATCTGGAAGGAGGAATAGGATTTCAGCAGGTAGAAACTGAGGGAGAGAAGAATTTCATGTTTTTGGGATGAGAAATTATTCAGGGAGTGGTGAATGATCTTATCTGGCTCAAGCACTTTGTTCAGGGGAGGGGGGAGTAATGGAAAATAGGCCTGGAAAGGGAAGTTAAAGCCAAACTGTAGAGCTTGGACTGGGTAGGGGCCTGATAAATTCCTGCTGAGTTAATTTAACCTGCCATAGTCTCCTACAGATATTAAAATGCAGTAGAGATGAGAGATATACCTCCTTAACCACCACTGCCTCCCTTGGCCACTGAGAGTAAAATGACCTAAGCCTCTCTGGGAGGACGGCCCAATTAATAACCATTACCTCCCCCACCCCCATGGGAAGCTGTGCTCCAGCCAATCAAAGCCCTACAGTCTCTAAATTTGAGACCTGGTTAGCAAGCTTTCCCCTAGGCTATTTTTTTTTTAGGCAGTTGGGGTTAAATGACTTGCCCAGGGTCACACAGCTAATAAGTGTCAAGTGTTTGGTCTGAGGCTGGATTTGAACTCAGGTCCTCCTGACTTCAGGGCCGGTGCTCTATCCACTGAGCCACCTAGCTGCCCCTTCCCCTAGGCTATTCCAACACCCTTTGGGGCAGCCCCCGCTCCACTGGCACTTCTTGAAAACTGACTCCAAATTAGCTACCTCTGGGAAGGCACCTGTCAGAGCATTACTTGAGCAGGTGCTCAGCTTGCAGCTGAGCACGTTACACACGCTCCATGGATTGTTTGGTCCCTTCCAGTATTAACTTCCTTTCACAGAACACATCTGATTTCCCTTTGCTATGTCATTTATTCCTCTTTCTCTGGTTCTCCTTCTGTTCTGGGAGCTCAGAACTCATAGGTATACAACATATCACAGCTAGAAGGCCCCCTGGAAATCATTTGCTCCAACCCACTTTTTTTCCAGTGAAGAAACTGAAGCCCAAGAAAGATGAGATAGATGACTGAGGATAAGTCACTTTTCTCATTAGCCAGGGATCTCCAAAGGCCCTAGCACAGTTCCTTAATTCACTGCCACAGACATGTATTAAGCTCTCACTAAGTGCAGGGCATCCTTCTGGGCACTGGGGAATATCAGCTGAAAAATGACCCAGTCGCTGGCTAGAATTCTGCCTCTGGGTCTCCCTGGTCCTACCTGAGTGCCGCGATGTCTGGTCTGGTCTGCCACCGCCCTACCCCGGCTCCCAGTGGCCTTGACCAAGACCACTTCACAATAGCCTTTAAACTATTCCCCCTTCCTCAATGTCCTCAGTTTCTCTTCACTTCATCCTGCCCTCTCATGCCCTCAGTCTGATAGTATTATACCCTGGATCAAAAGCCTTCAGTGACTCCCCTCTGCCTTGGAGGGAAAGTGAGATCCTCCACCATCTACCTTTATGGCCTCTTACATTATTCCCCGCAACTAAGCCAGTCCCCTCCTCGTTCCTTACTGATCCTGAGATTATCAAGAGAGAAAATGTACATGGAATTTCAGGATCATAGAAGAGAGGGGAAACTGAGGTCCCCAAAAGTCAACAGACTTGTCAAAGTCCACAGTTGATAGGTGGCAGAGCTGGAGATTCAAGCTCCCAACCTCTGGCTCCCCATCTAATGCTTTTTCCCACTATATTTTATAATGCTGCTTCTCCTAGAAAAGTCACCTGGCCACTTCTGGCTTTGGTTTTCCTGCCTCTAATATGAGAGGGTCTGACCAGGTGATCAGGAAAGCAAATAGGAAGGTCTCTTTCAGCTCTGAAGTTATGATTCTAAATAAATTTTTGTTGGTTGGACTGACTTAAAACAATCTCTTTTCTCTTTTTAGGCAGCGAAGCTCCTTGGTCATCTCATCTCCAATCCCTAGATCCAGTGTTTCCATAACTTCTGGGGAGGGCAGCCCTCTCACCTCCCCCAGTAGTCCTTCTCCTATGAGTTCTTCTTCCAGAAGTCCCTCTCCTATCAGCCCCTCTTCCAGAAGCCCTCCTCCTACTGTCACCTCCCTCTTTTCCTTGAAGAGGGAAAAAGAGTCAGTCTTGGAAGATGAAAATGCTCCAGCTACGGAACTATCCCAGAAGGAAGACTCCCCTGAATTCCATGATGACCCCTTTGAAGAAGAGAAGAGAGGGGACATAGATGACCCCAGTGTTGAAGAAAAGTTTCTGTCACCCTGCAATGGCCCAGCTAGGTCACGACCCTCTTCTGTAGTTCAGGCTGAGCTGCAAGATGAAGGTTCCCCCTCTTGCACAGCTCCAGTGTCCCCTGGAATCTTGCCTTCTCCCAAGGAGATTCCATTACCAACCCCAGGAGTCTCCCAACCCCTATCCCCTAATGAAGGATCAGGCCCAGTAAGGGAGAGAATGCCTAGTTTCAAAGCTTTTATAGCCCACAATAAGCAACCTCCGCCTAAAGCCCTTCCCAGTCCAGGGCCCTTACCTGATCTCAAGCCAGCTGAGAAGCCAAGATCACAGACCCCTGAAGTCAGCCAAGAGGATGGAAGTCCCAGAAGTTTTAAGGAGCATGTTTCCCCTACTTTACCGATCACACAGGTGAGGCCACATAGTTGAACCTTCAGATCTCTGGGAAGGAGGAAAAATAATCACAATGATGATAATAATAAGGTGGGAATAAGCATTTGCATAGTACCCACAATGCATCAGGCGCTGGGCTGAATACTTTACAAATATAATCTCATTTGATCCCCACAACAACCCTGGGAGATAGGTGCTATTATTGTCCACATTTTACAATTCACAAAATTGAGGCAGACAGAGGTTAAGTGACCTGCTCAAGGTCACACAGCTAGTAAGTGTCTGAGGCTGGATTGGAACTCAGATCCTCCTGATTCCAGGCCCAGTATCCTATGTACTGAACCACCAAGCTGCCATAATAATAGTAATATTAGTAATGATAATAATATAATGGCATTTATGCACAGCTTTAAGGTTTACAAAATACTGTGCATATGTTATCTCATTTGCTTCTCACAATAACCCTGGAAAGTATTATTACTACTAATAATATCATTTTATTATTATTATTATTATCCCCATTTTACAGTGAAAAAACTGTAGTTAACCTTCTAGTTAAGTGACTTGCCAAAGATCAACCAGGTTGAAAGTGTCAGGACTCTAATCGAATTGCTCTGACTTCAAATCCGTTTCTCTTCCTACCAAACCATATTCATGGTCTATTGGAAAGAGTGGTCAAGCCTCAGCTCTACCCCTAGCTAGTTGTGCAACCTTGGATCGCTAGAACAGTATAGCCTTCACTTTCTTAATTTGTAGAATGTGGCCTGGACTAAATCAGGGCAACCAAAGTGTTTTCAGCAGCAGGCCAAATGATCAGTAACCCATAGGCATTTGGTCCATATCAATTATATGATTGTGTAATTAATTGCTTCAGCAATAATTAATTGATCCAATCTTAACACCCAACAGCAGCTAGTTACTATTAGCCCATCCATGCTAACTAATTAGGCCAAAAATTTTTTTGCTAAAATTCTCAGACAGGTTATACTCTGGGCTCAGGTTGATTGCATTTGACCTGATTTGCAACTCTGACATTCTGTTTAGCCTGGATGTTCAACCTGCAAAAGTGATTTTAAGTGAAATGTGATTGTTCTCTTCAAATTATTTAAGAGATGTCATATGAAAGAAGGATTATTCTTTATAGCAGAGCTTGGGCCATGTGTGTTACAGGGAGAGTTTGTGGTTCAATAAAAGAATTATTGAATTTGACAATTTCCAGTTCCAAAATTATCCAATTTAACACTTGGAACTCTCCCAAAATAGAACTGGTAGTGAGTTTCTCATCCCAAGAAGTATTCAAGAAGAAATAGCCATTTGACAATCAGTTCATTCTGATGTGCCTTTATTAAAGAGCCTTTAATGTGTCAGGCAGTGTGCTCAATGTTGGGACTCCAAAGACAAAAATGCAGTGGACTCTGCCCTCAGAGAGTTCACAGTTCCTCGGGAAAGTGATATGTAAACAGACAGGTAGGAAACAGCAATCAATGTACTCACATAATCTGAAGATTGGAGGGGATCTCAGTGGTCACACCAGGAATCCACACAATAAATATCTGGTCATCTTGTCTCTTCTTGAAGACTTCTGAGGAAGAAGGCTCCTCGACCCTCAAGGCAGCCCAACCTATTTGTGGAGAGTGCTAACTGTAAGGAAGCTTTTCCTGACACCCATTCTCCTTTCACCTTTTTGTACCCTCCATCCATAGTTCCTGCATCTCCCTCTGGGACCAAGGAGAACACTTCTGATCAGTCTTCCATGTGCCAGCCCTTCCAAGGCCCAAAGATTCGCTGTGATACTATCCCCCGTCCCCTGTTAAATGAGTCTTGCTCTTCTTCAGGCTTAACATCCCCGTTTCTTCAACTAATAGATGACATGGCCTCCAATTCATCCTGGTTGGTCTCCTCTGAATGTTCTCCAACTTACAATGTTCCTCTTAAGCTGTGAAACTCAGGATTGAACTTGGTACTTGAGATGAGGTCTGATATGGTCACCTCCTTATTCCTAGAAGCAGCCACTAATCATATAAAATGTGGGCTACCACATCCCACTGCTATGCCCTCCAGAGCCTGCCATCCCCCCAGCTTACACTTGTAAAGTTGATTGTTTCGTTCCCAAACTAATTTCCTCTTCTACGATTCTGCCTAATGCTCTGGGACCCTGCCAAGATCCTTTGGGATTTTGGTGCGGTCATCTCTATCCCTCCCAGGTTCGTATCACCTGCAAATCTGACGAGCCTTTATTCAAGTTGTGGATAAAACTCTTAAATAGTAGAGGACCAAGCACAGATCTCGGGGGGAGGGGGGTACTCCCCTGAAAACCTGCCAATGGAATGCCCACCGGAATCTGTACTTGGCCTTGCATGTACAAGCCATATAAAATAATGGGGTGGGGAGGAGAGGAATAACAACTTTGTTGTTAGGGATTCCTGCACTGGGGAGATTGGACTCAGTTATTGACAACTCTAAGGTTTTATGATACCACCTTGATATCTTGTCCTCAGTAGATGTGAGAAGGGTTGCCCTTCAAGGTAGAGTCTTCCTGCACTATTTAGTTTGTCCCTAACTAGCAACCTCAGTCTGCCCCTCAGTTTCTTCCTCTATAAGATGAAAGCATTTGGCTAAATGTCCTAGGAGATTCCTTAATGCTATAATATTCTATGATTTCTATGTTTTGTAGGATTCCTCTGAACTTGGCACAAAGGAGGAGATAAAGAGTGAAGAGAGCAAGGAACCAGACCAGAGCAAGAAGCGGGATTCAGACATTTCCCTTCAGGTACTGAAGTACAAGGCATCACTTCTGATCACCATCACTCAGACATTTTCCCCTATGACTTAACCTGAAGAGTCATTCAACAGTCAATCAACGTGCATTTATTAAGCATTTACTATTTGCCAGGCACTGTGTTAAGACCTGGGGAATACAAAGGCAAATACACAGGATGTCACCTTCTAACAGGGGAGACATGAAGTGGCCCTTCTCCTTGCCAAGGCAAACTCTTCCACATATACCCTAGATCCCATCCCCTTCCATCTTCTCCAGCAGATTGTCCCCTCTGTCATCCAACTGTCTCTAATCTTTAATCCCTCCCTATTTCTGGTTCCTTCCTCACAAATTACAAACATTCCAAAGTCTCCTCTATCCTTAAAAAATCCTCACTAAAAAATCCTCACTGACTAAACCCTCCTCCGCTTTCCTGCTCAATTGCCTGAAAAACAATCTCTACTAGGAGAGCCACTTCCTCTCCTCCCACTCCCCTCATCATCCCACCCAAACTGCTCTCCCCAAAGTTTCCAACGATCTCCCGATAGCCAAATCCAGTGTCCTCTTCTCAGTCCTCTTCCTTCTTGACCTCCCTTCAGCCTGGGATGTGGTCCATGAGCCTCTCCTCCTCAGTGTACAGCTGACAACAGATAGACAAGTGTCTTGCTTAGTAAATGGCCAGTAAATATTAGAGCTAGGGCTTGAAATAACAGTTATCCCTTCCACATTGTAACTTTCCCCATCACAGTTTTGATATATTGTGGGTCAGCATAAGAAATTAAATGAGAATTTTAGGGGGATTTTGTGGAAAGTCACAGATGACGCACAAAGTCCAGCTGACAACACAGAAAAAGTTTAGATACTCAGAAATACATGAAATATATATGTAGTATTATATCAATCCAAATTTTACAATAAGGTGCTATAAACACCACATAAAAGAAAAAGAAAAAATTCAGACTTCTCTCTGGTACAAAGGGAGGACCAAGAAAATTTACATGGATTTTCCATATTATGGGGGCACTGCACCCCTAACCCCTGTGATGTGGAGAGATTAATTGTGTATCCTTTTGACTTCCAAGTCTAGAATGAGGGGGTACTCTAGTCTACCAGTAGATAACTCTCCTGGTTTTGGGTAAAGTGAGCTGAAAGAGCCTAGGAATCAGGCATCCTGGGTTCTGTCCTCTATCTTCTTCTCATTGGCTGTGTGACTTTGGGTGAGTCATGCCCTGAGCCTCAGTTTCCTCACCTGCAAAATGAAAGAGTACAGCAAGGTGGTCTCTAGGGTTCCTGCCAGCTCAAATGATATGAATATATGAGTGCTGTGCCTTTAAGACAATTCTCCAGTCTACAGCAGTAAAAAACACAGTAAAGGGAGCAGAGGGCAATTTGGGGATCTCTGGATCTCAGTTCTATTTTAGTTGTTAGACTAAGCCATTTGCATGAGCTTTGAGGACTACAAGCCACCTTAATAGCATTTCCCTTCTCCCTAAAAGGCACTTCTCACTCAGAATTAGGTCAGCAGCATTCTGGGAAACCTCCTGAGACACAGAGAAGGGACTGAGGCGGAGGGAGAGGACAGAAAGGCAGAGAGAATGATGGGGGATGGATGAATGGGTTCTGGGGTCAAGTTTGAGCATAAACAGACCAGCAGGACCATGGAGTGTAACACCCAGCCTAACATCTCCTCCCTGCACTCACACAGCTCCGGATCTCCTGGGCAAAGGTTAGGGTGGGTTAGGTGAGGTTCATTTCAACAATAATTCAACGTTTATTGTGAGACAAATGCAAAGAGGACAGGGCCGGCTCTCAAGGAGCTGTCTTCCTACCAGATCTCCTAATAGAGTTACTTTTGTATTCCAGATGAAGGAATGTCCGAATGAGGAAAAAAATTGAGCGAGAACTTCCCAACCAAGACCCCCACATCCCAGCTTCCCAAACTGGGGAAGTGGCAGGAGAACAAGAAGCCAAAAGGCCAAGGAGGCCACACTCCAGCAGCCTCCCTTTCTGAACATGTGAATGCTGGCCTTCGAAAACTTAAGGGAGGAGCGGCCATGGGTGAGAAGGGAAAGAGAGGGGTCCTTGGAAGGAAGAATGTTTGACCCAGAGAAAACTGAAGTCAAGTTTGGGAATTATTAGCACAATAAAGGCTGGTTTTCTTTTTCTCTTTAGTGAAGTGGGGCTTTAGGGATTGTAACAAAAAGCACACACACACACACACACACGCACACACACACACTATCACACAGACTCCTGTACTCACGTAGAAACACACACCATGAACAGTTGTACATGACTTAAAAAGCCAAAAAAGTCAATTTTCAGAGTGTTAAAGGTAAATAAACAAACTGTGGTTCTGAATATGCTTGTGTTCAATTCAGCAAACATTTATTAAGCACCTACTATGTGTTAAGTCCATGTAAGTTAAGATTTGAGATCTACATTATTAGAAAGAGCATCTACACTGACCAAGACTAAATTACAGATCATATGCAAGACACTTGGAGATAGAAAGGCCATCCTGCCTTCCAGGAGCTTCCATTCTTTTTTAGGGGGAGTTACTAGCCAGGGTTATACACCCACACACACACACACACACACACACACACACACACACATACACCCCTTTGTATCTGCATTCCAGGGAATAGTTAAGGAAGCCTCTGCAAGATTCTGGTTTCAAATATAGTTCCATGTTATCTTTGATTGAAGTCTTCCTGGCTATGGCTTATTTAATAGAATTCATTTCTTTTGTAATCCTGTGAATCTTATCTTATACATTTAAAAATGTGATTCTGAGTAAAGGTCTATTCACCAGGCTTCTCAAAAGGTCCATTAAACACGTATACATACACACACTCTCTCTCTCCCTCCCTCTCTCTCTCTCTCTCTCTCTCTCTCTCTCTCTCTCCTCTAAGTCTATATCATCCATCCAGTTGCATCACTTGAAAAGACTGCTGATCTGATGGTCCCTCCATTCACCTCTGGGGCTCCTCTCTAGGGTGAAATCTTCCCCAGTTGCACTAGATAGTTTTATGCTTCGGTTTCAGTTAAAATGCAAATAGCCTTGGGTGGGGTCACACTTTTAAGCTGTTATCTGTCATTTACACCTGAGGGCCTCACTTAAGCCTCAGTTGCCTGCTTTCCCTCTTTCCTTGGCAACTGTCCAGAATCTAATAAGATAATGTCTATGAAAGCCTTTGTTGTGCAAATGTAAAGTGTTATTATTGTGTCCCAGTGGAAGTGGGTTAGAGGCTAAATTGTGCACACTTGGTGGAACCCAGGCTGAGTCCCTCCCTGTGTGTGATGCTGACTGATCTGGGTTTGGGAGAGAGCTGAAATCTGCCCAGTTTGGAGAAGGAGTGGAAGATTCGAGAGTGAAGTTTTGCTTAGAGGAACAGAGAAAAGGAAGGAGGGAGGAAAAGGAGAGCATTAGGGCTCCAAGAACCTCTCCAGGTTTAGGAGAGAAAAGGGTGGTCACATTTATGCAAGCACTTTAAAATCCCAAAGTATTTTCCATTTTTTATCTTATTTGATTATCACAATCGTGTAAAGTATGTAGTGCATCACACTGGTTGTGCTGGGGAAAAGCCTTGATGATCCTAGGTGAAGGACAGCTCCAAGTCAGTATGTTCAGCTTTGTTCACTGAGGCCAAGCCCAGTAGAGTGTCTGTGCTTTTACTCAGCACAGGGGGCATCAGCAAAGGCCTGCATTTCCAGACTGTGTAGGATCATAGCTTGGCTTTGCTATTAATTAGGTATGGATATGACCCTGGGAAGGTCACTCTGCAGACCTTGGTTTCCTCAGCTGGAAAAGGGAAGTGTTTGGACCAGATGGTCTCTAAGATTCCTCCAGCTTGTCATCTATAATTCATCTACACCAACTCCCTCATTTTATAGCTGGGGAAACTGAGGCATGACTAACTTGCCCAAGGTCATAAAGGAAATAGGTACTTTTGTACTAATAGGTACTTTAGGTACTGTGCCAGACTGCCTCTTTGAGGGTCACAAAAGGCTTTCCTCACAGCCCCCCTAGTAATATAATTCTTAGCTTGGAAAATAAGCAATATGGCAGAGGGGGAAAAAAGCTGGCCTTAAAGTTAGGGAGGCCTGGGTTCAAGCCCTCTCTCCCCCATGCAATGATGACCCTGGGTAAGTCACAACCCCTCTGTGCTCCCAAGGCAGCTCAACAAGACCTTGAGCTACAAAAAAGATTCTGATCTACCTTATAGGAGGTTCCTAATTGGGCTACCGACACTGATGAAATCACAAGTCCTGTTAACAAAAAAAAATTTCGGTCAACAAATGTTGACTAGCTAGGTGGTGCCTTAGTGCACAGAGCACTGTACCTAAATTCAGTAACCTGAATTTGAACCTAAGTTTGAAACCAGCCTCATTTACAAGCACATGACCCTGAGCAAGTCACATAACTTCTCTGTGCCTCAGTTTCCTCATCTGTAAAATGGAGAAAGTAATAATGCCTGACTCCCAGGATGGTTGTGAGGATCAAATGAAAGAAAATTTGCAAAGTGTTTTGCAAACTTTGAAGTTCTATCTGAATGCTAGCTATTACAGATAACATATACAGATCTAAGTCTATACAGAGTAAATACAAAATATGTATCAGGATTCCACTTCCAGCACTCTTTCTACTATGCCACACTATGTGTGTGTGTGTGTGTGTGTGTGTGTGTGTGTGTGTGTGTGTGTGTGACAGATGAGTGTGGTTCACTCTCATGAATTGTGGGATGTGAGTCCATGGTAGGAACCAATTTTCCTTATTTTCTAAGCAGTTAAAGTTGCCTAAGGGAAGAAAGGGCATGAGCTTCACAGTGAGGAGTCAACCTTCCCTCCTGGGCCTCAGCTGGGGCTTAGGCCCTGGTGGTTGTGGATGCCAGTGTCCTGTACCCTGACCTGGAGAGAAGGCCCCCTCCAGCCTCCACAGATCCTTCTGTGGCTCTGTTGACACAAAGTTGTCTGTGTCTGTTTTAAAACAAAGAGAGATCCCTTGGAGAATATTGGCAGATCATTTTCTTAAAATACTTCATCACTCTTTATTGGGTTCTGTATAAAACAAATTGCAGGGACTACTTTCTTCAGGCAAGCAGAAGAAAGACCATTCATAGGACACTGAGAGTATAGGATAAATGTAGGACATTGACCGAGGTGTCTCTCCTTTAGCAAGCCATAAAAGAGGGATATGGAGAGCTATGGATAAAGTATGGGACTTAGAGTCAGGAACACCTGAATTTGAAGCCTGCCTCAGACAGGTACTAACTGTGTGATCCTGGGCAAGTCAGCACCAGTTTCCTCATCTGGAAATTGGTGGAGGGAGGAGGGCGGGAGAGCTCATACCACTTCACAAGGTTGTTGTGAGGATCAAAAGACATAATTTACACAAAACATTTCACAAACCTAAAAGTGTTATGTGTTACTAGCTATTATTACTATTATATGTAATCCTATTTTTTACAGTCATATTTTTAAATTTAGAGACAGGTGGTTAGTGACATGGATAGAGCACTGAACCTGGAGTTCAGAAGATCTAAATTCTTGGAGGCCACTAGGTAGCACAGTGCATAGAGCTCCAGCCCTGGAGTCAGGAGGGACCTGAGTTCAAATCCAGCCTCAGACAAATAACACTTACAAGCTGTGTGATCCTAGGCAAGTCACTCAACCCTGATTCCCTGCCTTCAAATCTGACCTCACTTGTTAGTTCTGCATCCCTAAGCCAGTCACTTAATTCTATTACCTCAGTTTCTTCATCTGTAAAATAGGGGTAATAATAACAACACCTACCTCCCAGGATTGCTGTGAGGATAAAATGAGATAATGTTTGCAAAGTGTTTCCAAACCTTAAAGTTTTATATGAATGCTAACTATTATTATATTAAATGGAGATGCAGATGGCTGGGGGGGGGAGGGGGCGTGGCACTTCAGGGAAAGAATCTGTCAGCAAGCTTTTTAAAATTACATTTTGAAAAAGAGTCTTATGAAACACGAACAATTCTCAATGAATTATGAAAATATAATTATTGAGATAATCACTCAATAACCCCACACACATATACCCATTATTTCTCACCTTTGCTCATGTTACTCCCCTACGGATAAGTTACCTGAGTCATAACCATTACTACTATTGAGTCCCACATAGCACTTGAGAATTTGTTTGCAGTGTTATCGAATTCAATCCTCACAAAAACTTTGTGAGGTGGGGTACTATTATTAACTCTATTTTACAGAAGAGGTTTAGAAAAGTGACTTGCCCAGGGTCACATAATAAATAAGTATCAGAGACAGGATTCCATTTTAGGGCTTTCTGACTCCAAGTTCAACACTCCTTCCACTATGATTCCCTGCCTCAAATCCTACTCAACTCAAACACCATTTTCTTGAAGATTTCCCTGCTCCCCTCAGTTGGAAGGATCTTTCCCCCCCATGGGTTCCTTTGCATATTTCAAGCATCTGTCATACATTATTTTGTATTATAGTTATTATAAGCCTGTGCCATATTTACCTCTTAGCTCCCTGACAGCAGCAACCAGTATTTTATTTAAGCTTTACATTTCCCTCATTGCTTAGCAGCGCTCAACATGCATACTGTGTGCAGATGAAGCATCCCAAACACAAAAGGATGAATTCAATCCCATTTTCTCATAGACAGACAGCAAGAGTAACAGCAAGAATACTGGACTTAAGAGTCAGGAAACCTGAAAATCTAATCTTTTCTCCATCTTGAACTACTAGGGGAAAAATCACTTAACCTCTCTGGGCTTCAGTTTCCTCATCTGTAAAATAGGGACAAAAATACTTGCATCATCTACTTTGTAACATTATTGTGAGGAAAGTGCTTTGGAAACCACAAAGCACACTGAAAATATGAGTTACTATAATAGCACTTGTAACAGACCTGAGGGCTCCAGGGACTAGGGCCTGCTCTCTCACTAAGGGACCCTAGCTCTGGGCTCCAGGGGATTGGGCTCAGTCAGGCAGGACACTTGTCACTAAAGAGAAGAGGAGTCTGACTTCTTATCATCTCTCCCTCATAAGGCTCCAGCTCCAGAGCCTCAGGGAAGATTTCTTAAAGAACAGACTCGACTTATGCGCGTATATGGTTCAGGAGTGTGCTGGCAAATGGGAAATAATCAGCTCTCTTAAAAAAAATGTGCACAAGACCCATTTTTTAAAGTTTAATTTGCATTATTCATATGATACACTTTGAAGTTCAATCTGCAAGATTAGCATTTTCTCCATCACTTTCTTAAGTTTAGACAATCAGAAAAACAATCAGTCAAGCCCTAATGAGTAGCATTTGTGAATCTCCAAGGCAAGTTCTTACACAGAAAATTTATCAGGCTACCCTTGATAAGGATTCTCCAAAAGGTATCAATGGAGTTCTTTCTAGAAAGGAACTCAATGCACAAAGTAGATCATGTATAGAACAGCTATTTACTTCTTTCACTAAAAAAAAAAAGACTCATAAGTATGCATTGACAAGTACATAAGAGTGTGAAAGAGTAAGTTATAATTGCAATTATAATCTCCCGGGAGGTCAGTACTTGAATCAACATGAAACACTTTGTGAAACTGTTTGACAGGCATTTCACCCTCATTTTAGCCTGCACTGCCTGAGGAATTCACTCAATGTCCAATATCTTATGGCAAGCCAGAGCATGGCTTAAGTTCATCCTCCTTGTGACTGG